TCAACCAATTTTGTAATCCACCTGTAATTAGGGGTAGTTAGCTTTCCTGCAAAGAAATGAAGAAATTCAAATAAATATTTAATGCAATACAAAGACTGCCGAAACAAGAAAGGGTGATCATCACTATTCTATAACTGTTGCGGAAGTCCCTTTGGTATAATTATATTTTTGACCAGGAAACATATGGCATCCAATCAAGGTCCTTTCATAACCCAATATCTTTCAAAACTTTATTTTCATTAAGCTTTCAAACAAAATATGAAAGGTGAGATGGTTTAAGCTTTATCAACTGAATTGCAAGTGCATCGGATTATAGCTGATCTACAAGCGCAACAAATAACATATTCGAACACTAATAAAAAAAAAAATCGTTCCACCATTTCATGCAGCAACTTCAATAAATGAATGATAAGCTAAGCGGTTGAATAGGAAAAAAGAAACTTACACTAGTTGGGAGTTTTTAGCGATGCACTATTTTTATTTTTATTTTAGGTTGCTCTGATAGGTTTTATTGTTCTCTATAAATATTTTAATAAATAACTATTTTCACAGAAAAACAGCAGCAGCCAATTATTCACCACTTTTGAACGCAGGGTTGTTTCTAGGGATGCCGAAAAGCATCGATGCATCGAAAATATCGATGTCGCGTCGACGAACATCGATGTTTGAAGCCATGACTATCGATGTTGCTCGATACATCGATGTTTTTTTAAATTCCTAGTTTGGCGTCGCTTCGACAGCTGACTGTGGGCTCTGTCACACGATATTTGGATCGCGCACGAATGCTACATGTTCAATATTTATCAGTATTTGCATAATTTTTGAGCTGAAAGCTTATTATGACGCAAGAAATTATTTTTATTTTGTACGTAACTATAATTTACAGAGAATGCATTCCACAATTATTTTAAAATTTCCAATGTTAATTCAAATTTGTTTTGAAAGATTTTAAGCCGCGAGAGCGAAGGAAAAGGCGATGTTCGCATTATGAGAGTAAAAGATGTACTGACGAAATGTATGGATCGCGTTTTGAAAGTGCTACACGTTCAATATTTATTGACGGTATTGCGATCCGCGATCCAGATTTCAAAATTATTAGAAGTTTTGCGATATGGATCACGATCCATCAATATTGCATGCTACACCGTCAATAAATATCGCGATACTTGGATCACGTCAATAAATACTGACCGTGTGACAGGGCCCTATCAATACATGCATTTATATGAAGGTCTTGACATAACCAAAGTTGGGCAACGTCAACACCAACACAACGCGCAAAGATGGCCAACTCTCAACTTTTCAACTCTGACTTAATTTTCCTTCTTTATCAAATGCGGGCAAGAAATATTGTTTGTAATGCAACTGTTGATAATAAATTTTGATTTATCTGCCGCTGGTATGTTAATTTAGTTACCAAAAGTATTCGCTGCTAAGCTTTCATTGTAGCAAGCACGGGCGTTAAGTTCCGAACACATTGAACACGATGAGCTACGGGCCACAGCTTCCAATTTGTGATCTTCATTATCTAAACGCCTTGTCGATAACGCCATGATTTTTTTGAAAGTGGCAGCGACATTATGGATTTGTATGAGCTTGACATAAAAGAAGAGGAAGAACCTTATCTGTCCCCGGAAAAATAGATCTAGGCACAACTACAGCCGTCGCGTAGCCCGTTCGTCGCTTAAATAATTATCTACATAAGAGTACGTGCTAAAATAATTTCACAGCTGTGGTCTGTAGCTCGTCGTTTTCATTGTGTTCGGGCTATTACTCGCGCTTGTATCAAAGCATGATTCAATAATTAAAGGTTTGCTCATTATTGACATTAGACTTTTGACACTCCCTTATGGTCTGATTATGCATACTTCGCATAACTTCGCCCAACTTCGCATAAGCTTCAAATTGTAATTACGTATGTACTTTGTATGCATTTTGTGTGTATTCCATTACCCAGAAATTAGCAGCACTTTTTAAAAACTTTGTGATTTTGCTTCACATTTACTTAAGTTACACTTTTAGTGCACTGGTACAAATGGTTGTGCGAAGTATGCATAATCAGACCCTTAGCTGCCTTACAAAAGCTTTGCACACACACACGAACCCACACACAGTGCTTTGCTAAGGGAGCCGATTTTGTCGAGAGGGAGCGAGAAAACTGCTTTTTGAGCAAACCTTTTATTATTGAATCATGGTATCAAAGCGACGCCAGCGAATCGTTATTGGGAAGTGTAACAGTGGCTACACACGACGAACATGTGCGCGTACAGGCTCGGCTTGCGGTGAATGCTCGTCGTGTGTATGGCGGTTCACGAGCATGCTCGCAAAAAATCAAAAAATTTTGATTTTCAGCGAGCATGCTCCTCATTTGTAGCGTGGTTTGCGAGCATCGCATTGGTAACAAAAACAACAACTTCACTTTGTGTTGTTGCTTGCAGTGTGCACATCGGCGGATAAGTGCAGCCAAGTCATGTGAGCCATTGAATTTTTGATGAATGAGGCCAAATTACTATGGAATGTGCATACATAGAAGTAAAATATAAATAAATTTAAGTAACACATACATTAAAAAAAGAAAGTCATAAGATTTGAATTTCATCATCGGCGTCTTTGCTATTCATCTTTCCGCTATGACGACAAAATCACATATGAGCCGCTCACCGTCTGTGGCAAAGAACAGCGAGCATGTTGGCGTACGTGTTCGTCGTGTGTAGACAGTGTAAAGAATCGGTATTGGGTACCGAAAAGCAAGTATTGGGTAGCGAAATCATTTGAAGTTTTGGGTACCAAGTGTTGGGTACCGCCAATTCAGCACATCACTATTTGTCAAATATTTCAGTTGCTTTCATGATCCATATGTATATGCAAAATTTCTGTTCCTGCGTTGTTGAATTTGGATAATTCTGTGCGTTTATACCTATTTTCTTCGCTAGACTTTTGAAATTCTAGAGTAGTTCCAAAGGAAGTAAATCCAAAGTAAAGGCGAAGGTATGTCGGATATTAAACGGGACTCCAGCCGTTCGCCTGAGGTAAGTTGGAGCGCGCGCATTATATATTTGAAGTACATACCATAACGGTTCCATTTATTTCTGCTATTTAGAACGGCTATTTGGATGATTTGATAGCTGACACAAGTTCACTGATAGCATCCGTTTACGAAATATTAGAAACGCCACGACGACCTACAGCAGTAACGGCGACGCCATTACTTGGGCGCAGATCACACAACAACAGCGACAGCAGTGGCCAACTTGGCGGCTCAAATTCAAGTTCTAATTCGCCCAAGTCTCCAAAGACACCACGCCTGTGCCCATTAAACCGAGTACCCCTTTCAACACCATCAACCAGAGAAATTGACAGAGAAATCAACAGAAGTAAAGCTTACAAATCAATTTAAATAATCAAATATTTAGCCAATATTATTACAATTATATACGTCTTATCATTATCTGTATTACTTTCTAGTTGATCGTTTTTGTGAAATGTTGGAGCATAATTTACGCTCAGTAGCACAGCAACCAGAGCAACTGATCGAGGGGCGGTTAGATTCAACTTCACCAAACAGCCCAGCCCGTGGAGCTGTCAATAGATCTCGTAAGCTAAAACAATAAAACATTCATACATATATAAATTCAAAAGGTCTAAGCTTTCATTGTATATATTTCAGCAGGTAATACTTCCCAGCGTGTTTCCGAACAAATTCTAAATCAGAATAGCTCTCCAACTCCAGACGTAGTTTTGGTTGATCTTAGTGATTCAATGAATATGCCTGCCCCAATAAGACCTCCGAATCAATTAAATATGAGTGACGATGTAATCATTGTAACGCCAAGTGAAGATGAAATCGTTGATCTTTGCACGCCTACAATCGTTCGAAAGATCTTTCATTGTAGAACCAACTTTAATGATAGGATGTTTCCAAATTCCGATGTGAATGTAATTGGTACTATAAATGGTGGCGGAACAGCCGAAATTCCGATTGCACAACCAACAAACGACGATAGACCTTCATGGCGACGCTCATTATCCTCGTATATGTCTAGGGAAAGGCCAAATGTTGCCAGTTCATCGCGTAATTCCGTTTCAACAGCAACTTCAAGAGCAAGTATTGGCAACGTTAAGAATCGGAGCAACAACCAAAATAAGAATCGTGCAAATAGAGCGCCTGGTGCGCCTTCTAACGTTTCCGTCGCCACTGTAACGACCAACAACAGCACCAGCAGCAACAACAATAACAACAACAATAACAGCGGTCGTGCACCACTAATGTGTGCAGTATGCATGGAAAGCAGCATTAATAATCAACCTACCTCTACCAAATGCGGCCATGTATTCTGTGCTAATTGCATACGCCAAGCTTTACGGTTGACACGCAAATGCCCCATGTGCAACACAAAGCTGACGCCAAGCATGCTGTTTCGTATATATGTTTAAGTGAAGTCTGAAACTTGAGACAAAGATGAAATTGCACTTTTGCGTTTAAGACAAAGCAGACTGGTTTTTGCAAAGTTCCGAATGTCTAATTAGCACCGTCTTACATGTTATCTGTTGCTCTGATTCTGTCAATAGAAATTTAATGTTTGAATGTATATCCATAAGTGATTCTATTTAGCAAGAACTTACTGAATTTTGTTTTACCAAAATTAAATTAGTCCACACATAAGTTGTTATTACGCTTATTGTAATTATAAGACGGATCATTATATGCTATGTTTTTTCCATTATTTATATTTCAAACTTGCGCTTGCATTCACTTACATACATATTTATACTGGCTTTTGAAATTTAAGTGTCATACTTTGAGAGCAGGTTAACGGTCCTAATATTCTTTAATTAATTTTCTTCCAAACACTCTTTGTAAACAAGCTAAAACTCTTTGAATAGTCGAAATTATAGAAAACGAAAATGTAAAATTTCTGAACGACTTCTTTTCATGGTAAACAACTAATAGGTATCATTGCGGCTCTTTAAAAATTTTATTTTTTTTCTACTCGGCGTTAACGTAAACATTTCTAGTTCAAAACTATTATGAAGGTCAGCTTCAAGCGCCGAAGCAAATTCAAAGTCGTTCTTACCCATTACGAATCCACAGTCAAACTTCTGGTGACAAGTTTTACGATATTAGAAATCTCAGCGTTAAGAAAATCGTGGCCCATGATAGAGCCAAAAAGAAAGATGTTGTCACAAAAAATAGCTCTTGAGTAAGCATCTATTCAGAAGGTGATAAAAAATGCCTTAAATTATATTTTTTTCTTTTTCCAGTGCATATACTGAAAATCCAGAATGGGCTGAACTCTTTCGCTTCGATGGGAAGACTGAAAACAATTCGTTAATTTATCATCCTCTATGTGCGTTGGATATTTATGGTACCACCATAAAGACCAATCTTGATACGAATTATGCCATAGTGAAAATAATCCTACTAATACTAGAAAAACATTGGAATCGTTTTATTCCAATGCCTTATTTAAAGGTAAAGCATTGTGGGAGGTTGTGCATGTACATATGTGCATATTTTTGTGTGTACATATTATGTATGTATGTATATTTAGTTCTTCAGGATTTTCTTGAATGCGTTAAACATCAAGTACTCGAGGAATTGCATCTACGGATGGGTCATTAGCGTCGTTGAGGATCAAACTTTGCAAACGAATCGTTTGTCCGTAAAGCATTTCTGCTACCGATGCTCCCAGATCATCCTTTACTGCTGTTCTTAGACCAAGGAGAACTATGGGTAAAACGTCAACCCAATTGGAGTTAGCCTTGTGGCATTTCAAAGCGGCCTTTAAGACCCGATTCCATCGTTCAACCAATCCGTTCGCCTGGGAATGGTGGCTTGTGGTATGTATGTGGTTAGCCCCCAGGAGCTTAACTAGTTGCTGAAAAAGGCTGCTCTCGAATTGTCGTCCTTGGGCAGTGGTGATAAACTTCGGAACACCGATTCTGCTTATCCAACCTTTAAGTAGCTCCTTGGCCACGGTTTCTGCTGTCATATCCGTCGGGGGAATGGCTTCGATCCACCGCGAAAATCTATCGACGCATGTCAAACAGTAAGTGTAGCCGTTCGATGATGGAAAAGGCCCCACTATGTCGATATTTATATGCTCAAAGCGTCTACTAGGCACAGTGAATGTCCCCAACTCACTCCTCGTGTGCCGCGATACCTTGCACCGCTGACAAGCAGGGCAAATTCGTACCCGCGCGCGTATATCTGAACTCATACCTTTCCAGACGAAGTCCTTGGATATGAGTTTAACAGTTGACCTTGCCCCAGGCTGCGCTAAGCCATGCACCGCGTTGAAAACTACTTGCCGCAGCGGTGTCGGAATATATGGCCGTAAGTGAGCAGTCGAGTTATCGCAAATTACTTCCAGGTTCGTACCTGGCTGCGTGTGTCTCACCAACTGTAGTGAGGTGCTGCCGTTTAGTTACTCCCTTAGTTCGATGCTGCTCTTTTGTTCGTTGTGTAGCAACTGCAAATCCACTGGCGATGGCGTTGTAAATGTCTCAATCCGGGGTAGCAAATCGGCGACGAAGTTGTCAGCTCCGCTGACGTGCCTGATGTCGGTTGAAAATTGGCTTATAAAATTTAACTGCCGTGTCTGACGGGGTGAAAGTTTCTCCTACATCTGGTCGAATGCATGTACCAACGGCTTATGATCCGTGAATATGGTGAAACTGGTACCTTCCAGAAAATAGCGAAAGTGTTCTATCCACTTGTATATCGCCAGCAGCCCGCGATCGAAGGTACTATATCTGCGAAAAGAAACCTAATGGTTGCCACGCTCCGTCTACTAGTTGTTGTAGCGCCGCCCCCATAGCAAAGTCTAACGGGATATGCAATCCGTGCGGCATTGGCCGATTGCGTTTTTAGTTCTTTCAAACGCCCTAGTTGTCTCAGTCGTCCAGTTAAGCTTGGTGTGGTCATTTTTCTTACAAGGGTCCATAATTTTTTGCACTGGCGCCTCGACAGCGGCGACGTGTGGCAAAAACCTCCGGTAAAAATTTACCGCTCCAAAAAACTGCGGACTCGTGCACTTCCTTCTGTTGCTTGCAATCGAGGATGTCTTTTAACTTTTCGTGGCAGAGGTCTTATGCCGTTTCGCGTCACCAGGTGGCCTAGAAACTCCACCTCAGGCTGCGCGATTTGGCATTTATCGCTGTTTATAACAATACCACATTCCCTATATCGCTGGAATAACTGCTCGAGATGCATTTCATGTTCCTTCGCTGACTTGGACGCCACCAGTACAACGTCCAAACACGGAAAAAACAAACGGTAATCCCCTAACGGCCTCATAAATAAACCTCTGGAATGTTTGGGCCGCGTTCCGTAATCCGAATGTCATAAATGTGAATTCAAACAATCCAAATGGTGTTATTATCACAGTTTTCAGCACATCCGCCGGGTTGACTGGGATTTGGTGATACGCCTTCTTGCAGTCCACTATGGAAAATATAACCTTTCCGTGCAACTCACAAGCGAACTTCTGGATGTGACGAACGGGATAGCTGTCTGCGATAGTCTTAGCATTTAAGAGTCTGTAATCCCCGCAGGGACGCCAGGACTCATTCGGCTTCTTAACCATATGTAAAGGACTGGCCCACTGTCCTTTCGACCTTTGACATATTCCGCGCTCCAGAAGGTATTCAAACTCCTTCTTCGCAATCTCTAGCTTTTCGGGTGAGAGCCGTCGTAGCTTCTGCGCGATAGGTTCTCCTTCCGTTTCTATATAGTGCTGAGTTGATGTTGCCTGCTTCACTAGCTTCTTTGAGTCGTCCGTCAAGTCGGCGTAGCGCACCAACAGCCTGTGGAAATTATCTGCTCCCCTAAGTGAAACAGTATTTTGTGGCAGTTTGGCAGTCTGGCACACTGTATGCAATTTTGTCTTTTGATCTACAACGAGTTTGTTTTTAATGTCTACTAAAATGTCGAAATTATGCAAAAAATCAGCCCCTATAATCGGCCCAACCAAACTTTCTATTTAAACCCACATCCAATGTTAGGTATTTTCTTCCATACGTGTTAATTTGTGTATTGTTTGCTGCAATCAATTTCATCGGTGAAAGTACTCAGATATCTCACAGCCCAATAGGCGAGATCTCGAACTAGAAATGTGATCAAATTTAGCCAAACTAAATACATAACGTGTTACGTGATTAAAAACCACTTCAATTTTATGGGCAGATTGAGAATTAAACTTGCTGTACATACATTCAGGATAACAGATTATTGGCAAAATCAGTTGTAGTGCAAGTTTTCTCCTGATGTCGTCCGGCGTAGGTTCGTCACTTTAGACACAAGTTTAAGTCACTTATTATTAATATATAGGTTAGGTATGGCAGAAAAGGCAATGCGACGTTTAGAAATTTGTAACACATAGGAATTATCACTGTTAAGACAAAGCTAACTTTTTATCGCCCAAGATGATATAGACGACAGATCACAGTTAAACCTAGAGCACAAGGAGACTGATTGGTCATGGGGTCCTGACAAGTAGAGCTGAATAACGTCTGCATATGCATGCATTTGCACGGACTTGCATGCACTAAAAATGTCATTTATAAATAAACTTACTAGCAGCGGTCCCAGTATTGAGCCTTGGGGCACACCAGAGGTATAAGACTAGAATATTCGGTACCGACCCTTACACGCTGAGTCCTACCCTCTAGGTAGCTGCTCATCAGTCGTACAGCAGACTCCCCGAAACCCATATTATTACGTAATTTGACGCATTGAATTTAAATGACTGGCCGACATGCACAACCAGAGAGGAAATTATGGTGTTGCAAGCAGGAGCACAAGGTGATACAGCACGATTGACCAACACATCATTAAGCTCTTCAGGGTTAATTAAACAGTCAGGACTGTCACTAACATGTACACGCAGGTTTTATAGATTACGCCACAAAACATTATTCCGAAGTAGTGGTTTTAACATTTTACCAAAGAACTTGCACTTTTCACACTTAATAAGAGCAGTTCGGTTCGGTTCTTCTTCCAAATAGAGTACGACTTGTTACGTTTTATTTATAATCATAGACCGAACAACTTTGTTGAACCAAGGGAACGACGGTGCTCGATTTAGAAGAGTGCGTACTGGGACATGAGCCCTGAATAAGCTTACAACATTTTCATGCAGAAAGCTCAACTTTTCATTTACAGAGCTTAGGCTCCAACAACCACTCCAATCAATGCGGGATAAGTCAGAAGATAGACTATCAATATTTATCCTACGATAGTCAGGAAAGTTATGTGGACTACATATTGTAGTCCCGTTTTAACTAAATGATTTGGCATGAAATAAAAAATAGTACCATTGGAAGTGATGAAAGCGGTAGGAATTAAAAGTAATTAGACGTTCCCACGACAGTCGGGTCTACGTAACCGGAACGACCCAGATTTATAACTGGCCAGGGACTGTCACTCCACCAACACTCCCCAAAATCTCTTTGGGGAATTTGTATGCTGTTACCACAACAACAACAAAAGTAATTAGAGAAAACTATTCATCTAAATGATAATTACACTAGTTTACATCCGAAAAAGAAAAAAAATAAATTCCATTCAGGAAGTGTGATTGAATTATTCCACTTTTTATGCTGCTTCCAAAAACCATCCCTGTGGGTGGGAGTGTCATATTTTAGAAAAAGCTACCCCGAAAAGTGACAATGAAACTACACACATATTTTTAGCAGTAAAACGGATATTACAAATGGGTAATCAAAAAGAAATAGTTTTCTTAACACTTTTATACTAAATAGTCTTAATTTACTAATAAAATCAGATTCATATATCGAGGTCGTAGCTGAGAAAAAACTTCCGGCAGTGTTTCCAAAACCATTGGAGTCGTTTGATAGGAAACCAATCGTAAATGATTTGGGGCTAACGCAGACTGAGATTAAATCACTACAAAATGCTTGGAACATTATAAAGAAGAAGCAACGGCAAGCTGGCGTCACCATATATATAAAGTGTATAAAGCTGTATTATGAGCTAACCCATACTAAACTTGATTATACATTACAGTCTCTTCTCCGAGAATGAACAACTCTACGAAATGTATCGTACTCGTAATGGCAAATTGCATACCGAATTTGCGGCACAGCATCAAAAAATAGTGTTGGGTGTATTTCAAATGATCGTTGAGCAGTTGGAAAATACACGTTTTATTAAGACACTTCTTAAAGAAGTATCGGCTAAACATCTATCTGTACATGTGTCGCACTACCATTGGCAGGTAAGGGGGGTAGTGATACAGATAGAAGTTATAGAAACTATTTCGGAAATCACCACATCTACCCAGCATACTTCCTCATAGCACTCACTGGGATTTGAACCAGTGAACTGCGTTGGACGCTGGACATACCGAGCTAAAAATACAATAAAGACAGACACTCCAAACACGTCAGCAACATACATACCTCTAGCATTATACGTAACGCTATTATCGAGATTGCGAAAGATGACCCTACCACCTGCTCATACAAAACGGCAAAACGACATATATAAACACTGAAGAAACGTATATGTATTACCTAAGAAAACCCTAGTAAACCCCAATTTAGATTTCCATCTATAGGTGGTTAGACAATCCCTTATCATCTAATGCGAAATATCTG